ATGGTGCATCGGAAGGTTCTAGTTTAGTAGTGTTATAGAGTATAATATGTATATTTTAATATATTTTTTAAAAGAATCAAAACCATTGAGAAATGTTACATGTGTTTAACAAGATCGGAAAACTTTGAAAATGTTAACAACGGGTTCGGCTGAACCTGTGCGAACCCGCTGAATATCACCACTGTATATATATACTGGTATACAGTATATAGTCTAATTTTTATTTTAATTAATTATTAATTATAAAACACATTATGCTATTTTAATAAAAATTTTGTAAACATTTAGCTTTACAGCTTTTTAATTACATTCAAGTTTATTTTTTTAGCACTTAAAAGGATTTTTCTTTTTTACTTTTACATTGTTTTTTAGGCTTAGTGCTATTGTTCATTTAACAAATGATATTATTATAGTATAAATATATTGTTAGGCTTTATATGCACTGGCAAATGAAAAAAGATTGTGTTTTACTTTAAGACAATGTTCTCTTTACAGTGTTTCTCTGAGATCTAACCTGCTTTATTACTGAACTATGCTTGCTGTTAATAATATTTGATATTAAGCAAAATTAAAATTACAAAAGAAAACAAAGAGAAATTTGATTCTTTCTTTCATTTTTTGTATTTATAGAATTATGAACTAGGTTTATAAATATTAATATATTTAAATAAAATGAGCTTAAACAAGTCATCACAGTTTTTGAAAAGATATGCTAATAAAAATCTTGATTATTTTTTAATTCTGTAATAGTTTTATGTCAATAATTTTATATTTGCTTAGATCTTTATTTTAATAACATATCAAATAAATGAATATGAATTATTTGTTAAATATATTTATAATTAAAGATGTGTTCTTCAAGTCTAAAAGAATTGAATATATCATATACAAAATACTAATGAGAATATCAATATCTTATACAGTAAATTTAATTTGAGAAATGTTAGGTTTTGCATTAATTACCTAGAAAATGTATGCAGGAATTATAATAAAGAATATCTTAGAAAAAAAAAATATTTGAATTTTTCTGAATCCTACTGTTGAATATGAAAAGATGTGAAAATATGCTGATGAATCAGATGATAAATCTGTTGATGATCTGTAGTCATAGATAGATGAATCAATTAATTCAAATAGGTGCTTTTCATATTGATACTTGAATATATTCAGAAAAAAATATGATTATTATAAATTCTAATAATTTACAGTTATTTCATTAATAACAACAGGAAAATATTAGTCATCCAAAAAATTATTTTTGATAAAATGCATTAGAAAAATTATGACGATTATTAAAAGTTTGTCATTTGAGTATATCTTAAAATATATAAAGAAATTATTTGTATTGTGTAATCAATATATTATAATAAATATGTTGAAACTCTCATGCTACAGGTGTTAAATCAAAAAATTGATTTTTAGTTTTATAGTTCTTATAATGATATATCATTTATTTACAAATGCATTTGAAAATTCTGTTTAAATTAAAATAATTTGTAGTAAGTTGTTACAATACAATAATTCAAAATGTAATTTTATATTATTTTGTCATACTGAATATTAAATATTAGTTTAAAATGTTTTTAAAAATCTGTGAAATGCATTATATTTTAATGGAGTTTTAAATGTTTTCAAACAACCAGTTCAGTATCAGAAATTTAAAAAAAAAAAGATTTTTATTGATCAAAAAACTCTTAGATAATTTTATAACAGTCAGTCCTTAAGGAAAACAATTTGTTTTTATTTTCAGGAACTTCTTTGCTACAAATTGACTAATTTTTTGAAAATTTTTTAAAATTATAATTTAAGTTATTATATAAAAAAGGAACAATTAATTACATTAGAATTATAGATACTACCAAAAGATTTATAATGAAAAAACAATATATAAAATAGTTTAAAGCTTTTTTTTTTATACATATAAATATTTTTATAGCATCTACAGAGAGCTGTTTTAATAAAAATTTATCTTTTATTTCAAAATATTTTAATCTTTACAGTAGATGTGTTGTTCAACTTGACAATACATTTGGTAATTTTTTATCTATTTTGAAAATTATCCATTTTTCCAAAATTTAACTTGGTTTAGCATAAATTATTAGACTTTGATTGAAAGTTTTGTCAACAGATGCCACCACTTATCTAAATTCTTTGGCAAAAATTCAGTTATTGGAGCAATCCATTTTTCATACAAGGGGAAAATATTAGAAAGATGGACTATGTTCCACTTGTTTCATATGCACTTGTTCCACTGGAACAAAAATTTTTCATTTAACAATACAAATTCACTTAATTAATCAGAAGAGTACAATTAAATGATTGTTTAATTTACATAGTTGAATAAATTCAGTACATAGGATATTTTATCAATTTATTAAATTGATAAAAATTTACAGTGATTTAATGCGAGATATTTATTGTTAACTATGGTTATGTAATGTGTATTATGTTTAGTTAGGACATTTTAATGTTGCCTTGGAAACAGCAAATTTTAATTTATTCTCATTTGCATTTAAAATGTGCTTTGTGCATACTTAGGTATTTGATTTATTTGAAATTTTCTTGTTATTCTTCCAATAATAAATTGCTGTTTATAAATAAAATATAAGTTTTAACATAATTTAGATTAAAAAATTTCTTTAAAATCAATGTTGTTTATATATATTCACTTTGAAATTGCTTAAGTAAGATTTTTAAATGAAAAATCTGATAGATAAGTGACAATAATAATTTTTTTTTAATTTTTTGTTATATTTTCTTACAGACATTGTACAGGGAAAGTAATTTTTTAATTTATGAAAAATAATAAACTGAATCAAATGAATATAGTTGTATAGTTTTGTTAAAATAGTTTTATTTTAATATAACGATGACAATTTTTAATATTCTGCATCATTAATAGTAAAAGTTATAGCAAAGATGAATAACATAGAATGTTATTTTAATTAAGAATTGATAATTTTTTTTTATACAAAATCTTGCAAAGGTTCTATTTAGACATAATAATTAATTTTTGTATTAATATCATATTTTATTTATGAACTACAATTATTTGGATATTATATATAATACTCATATAATCATCAAAGATTATATAATTTTAAATTTTACATTAATCCACATAACTCTTGAAGTTACTAATCTGATAAATCAACTTAATATAATGAGAAACAGTATCTAATATGCCTTTAAAATTTGGGAAAAAGCATAACAAATCATTATAAAAAGTTTATTTTTTTTAATTGGCAAATGACCTACCCATGAGGACAGTAACAAATTACAAAATGTTAATGCCTTTTGTTTAAAAAATAAGAGTCGTCGATGCATTGAAGCATAACTATTCCACTGTACGTCAACTTAACTTACTACTGCTCAAAATTTGATTTTATCTGAAATGATGCATCACAAATTGCACTTATCTGATATTGGGGATGTGAAAAATAAATTAAATAAATGGGGAAAAAAATTATATTTTATTTTTTTTCAGTATCAGAATATTTAAATTTATAAAAATGTTGATTAAATTCATTTATTAGCTGTTCATTATATATTTTATTTTGATTTATTTAATTTTGGCAAATTACTTTGAATTTTTGCATCTAATATGAACAAGAAAGATATTTTAAAATATCTTAAGAGTAATGGATAAAATTGAACAAAAAAAAGATGTATATTTATATCAATTTATTCCATTTTGTATAACTTATTGATGTTTTAAATGTTCCAATAATTATAATAGAGAAATTCTTGAACTATAATAATGCATTACTTGATTTGAGGAGCAATAATGCAGCACATCAAAAATATTGGAAAAATTATTTTTGTGAAGTTTGAAGCTTTTTCAGTAAAACAAAATTGAGTTAAAAAACACTTTAGAATAGATTTTTGTGTATTATTCAATATAAGTTACTATTATTTTGAAAATACATAAAAATTTAGTGTTTTTATACAAAAATAAGATTATTATTTAACTACTGGTTATATTTTGTGCATATAATTCACAATAATTCCATAGAAAATTGATAGAATGAAAATAAAAGCTTTGCATAATCTTCCCTACCATATACTTACTCCTCCTCATGTGGGAACCGCCATTGCTCCATAGGCACAAATTTGTAATTGCGATTTAAAATTGGTGTATAACCAACATCTCCTTTCAAATTGTTTTTTAAACACAGGTAACTTGCAGGCTATATACATAAAAATAGTGTTCAAAATTACTTTCTTTGACTATGTAAATATAATTATCTTGAGTTGATATCAGTTATATAAATTTACTTAATCAAATAGAATCTACAGTAATTTATATATTATTGGTTGAATGATTGAATGATATCAATTATCGTTGCTTCATACTCATATATTATGAACAATTATTGACAAGACAATTTTCTGATGATTAATTTATTTCAGTAATGTAATTTTGTTATTGCTTAAGGTCATAGATCATTAGTTTAGATCGGAAATTAAAAAAAAGTATATTATTTCATGGTTTAATGACACAGTAAATTTAGTAAAATATAAAATTCTGAACATAATTCCAGTTTTTATACCAATGAAATTAGTTTTTATTTGATGAACTATGTTGTTTTTATGATATAAATTTTAAATTAAAGTATTTCTCTCTGTAATAAATTTAAATATTGATTTTTTGTTTTGTTAAAAAAAAACACTTCTGTCTTTATTATTTTGATAATATGTTTATTAAATTTAATTATACAATAAAAAATTGCATTAAAATAATTTACTACTTTTAACAAGATGAAAAATCAATACATATCATTCATTTAAAATGCAGTAATTTGCATATGTATTAATTTTATTCTAATTTTTTTCTTGGTTTCTGCTAGCCGAACAATGCAAATTATGTGATTAAAATATTTTTTAACTTTTAAGAGTTTTATGGTATTCGAAAATATTCATAATTATGAAAAAATATATATATTTTTTTAAATGTGTGTATCTTTAATAAGTTGAGTTTTGTTTCCATTTCATTTTAGTGGACAGGGAAACATTCTTACACCTTTTATTTATTATCGATTTGTAACTCTTCGATACGCATCGAGAAGAAATCCATACACAAGGCAAGTGTAAAGATTTTGCTAAAATATCTATTTTTACTTTAACATTTCACACAACGGATTATCTTCTTTACAGGGCAATGTTTCACTTGATGAAACTCACAATCGAGACATTCTGCAACCATCCGAAATGTCCCACTGGAATAAGAGTGCTCTGCTACAAACTGATGGGATTTATTTCAAGACTGGCACCTCTCACTCCTACACAGTAATAATTAAAAATAAGAATTTGAAATATAATTGATAAGAAAAAAAATTCCCAATTAAAATGTCCAATAACAATTATAATTCCAAAAAAAAGGTAGTTTTTTTTATACAGAAATATACTTTTCTTTTGCATTCAGTTTATATATTTTAATTTTTGTTTTTCAATCTTTCTATTTATAAAATCTTGTTTAAAAAAAATCTCTTAAAAACTATTACAGTAGAAAAAAAATGTGTTCATTGTATTTTAGTAAATATGCATATTGTTGTTATAAAAATAATCTATATATAAGATAAAAATGTCAAAAAAAAAACTTGAGAAAGTGGGAACAGGAATTTTTATATTAAAACAATTTGTATGGCATATATTGTATTGCTAATATTACACAAAAGGAACTATAAAGAAAATCAAAATTAAATCCTTTATATTCAGAAATATGTGCTAAAATTCATTCACATTTGCATAAATGAAATATTTTGGTGTTGTTTGTATAAGTTAAGTTTTTTACTTTTTTGAGTTAATAATATTTATTTGTATAAAAAAAAGTTTTTCACTCCATGCAACTCTTGCAAAGTTAATAAAATTTTTTGTTTTGTATCTATGTTTAATATACATACATTATATATATATATACACAAACACAAATACAATTTTTTTTTGAGTTAAAGCAATAATTTATGATAAAAATTAAAATTAGAAATAGCATAATATTGTAAATGTATGAGATATTGGATGTTTTTCCAGTTATGTGAATTGTCCAAATTTTACTCTAAACTCTTTTCTTATTTAGTTTATGTACAGCAAAAACAAATTGATCAAACAAACTTTCATGTTAAAACTTCACAATAAAGATTTAAGTTTTGTTGTGTAAACAGTTTCATTATTATTAAACTAAAAATGACATTTTTAAATCAGTTTTTTAACCTCAATTTATACTTAACAGATCTGAGAAAGCTTTAAATAGGTTATACAAAAGAAAAACTAATAATGTATATTTAAATTATAAAATCTTTAAAATCTAAAACTATTTCTAATATAAATGATTAGAGCATTTAATTAAGGATTAATCATCATAAAAACGCAATTTTTTTGTGTGCGTATGCTGTATATATTTATATATGATACATACACACGTAAGATTTAATATATATCATTTACTTAATTTGCAACCATAAAACAAACTATCATTACTATGTTTATCTAATTTAGCATAGTAACTTGTTCTGCACTTCCTGCAAATTACAGATGATTTGATGGGAAAGCAACTTTACAGGAACAATTACAAAAGACACGATTATATAACCAAATTTATTAACGATTGCACTAAAATTGGTATTAAATTATGTAGGCTGACGAACAATATCAATGTTTACACATTAATTTTGCTAAATTGTGCAATACATCGATGACTGTTTTCATAACGAGAATGTTTTCAAACCGCATCAACTTAAAGATCAATAATAATAGCCAAGTTTAATGCGTACGAGTCACGAAAACCCATCCTTCATGTTAAAAAGTGGAAATATCTGACGCTTTTTTAAAGCTCCTAATTTGTACACGTGTTATTTAAATGGCCGATTTTTATGTATTCGCGTACACAAAATATATCGAAACAGTCTTAAAAGTATAGCAAAGAAAAGGCATAAAAACGGAAACGAAAAAAAAAATTTAAATTCTAAACAATCAGAATTAATTTATAGTAGGAAGATGTGATGAAAACTCCGGAGAGACTATTAATTTAGTTGCAGAGAGTATGGATGTCGAAAAAAAGAGAAAGCGGGTCATTTTATATATTGATAAAGTCTGTCCACGTGGCTACTTAAGATGCAAGGAAAAGACAAAAATGAAGTGAAGTTGCAAGAAAAACTACATTTTATAATAAAAACATTAATATTCTTATTACAACGTTGGCAATTAAGTCGAAGTAACGCGTATGAATCGACCCGATGCAAAACACCATCCAACCGAGTACAGATCTATATACAGGCAGACAATAGTTGTCTGGCAGATGACACCGATGTAGTTGCAAATTGGCCAGCAACTCCAGTACTTTGCTTACAAATGACAGTTGAAGTTTTGATATTCATCATCGTTTACCCTTCCACTTTGACTCTAGTCTGACGATCAAGCACGAACTCTAACAATAAAAGGGGGCAAAGACGAGGGGGACCTGTTTTGCAACTTCCAATTCCGTTTGTACATCGCATGGAATTTGATTAAGATCAGATTTTAAAGAGAAACGAGCGGAACCTCATTCGGATCCTCTTCACAACAAACTAAAACCCATTTCTACTTTCCCACCTGCCGGGTATAGAATGACGTATTTATTACCCAACTATATTTTCGTTCCCTTGGTTTCACTCCCCCTCCTCTCCCGTAATCCAATTACACTCATATCGAAGCACAAAGCGCCATAACTGCATCGGTCGTTCTTTGTCGTTCAATGAGCTTCATAAAGAAACTTCATTACGACGGGACACAATAGACTACTAGATCCTCGGGGGGGCGAGAAATAAGTACGCCATTTTGTACGTTTATAGACAACAATAAATCGTGCGCTACTACGTCCAGCGATGACGTATACGGAGCGAATCATTTGCATAAACGCTGTTAGGCGTATAATCATAGGCGTGTTAGGATGTTATATCATTCGGTAAACGACGTCGCTGCCATCGATAGCGTTGTGGCAACGGGGCATCACTGCCGGGGGTAGACAAACGCTTAATTGGCCAAACAATTCAAACCGCCATTCGTAGATTAAAGCGGCAAAACCTGTAGACAAAGAAAACTATACCCCCGTGCAGAATTATTGCTACGTCTTTTAATATCGAACCCAGCTAATTATCAAAATAGGTGACTACGCTCTGTTTGCCACCTCCGTCCCTCGTTCCACTACAAATATAAATTGTAAAAAAAGGAAGTAAATGATACGTAATAAAGCCTATAGATCACGTATGTATAAAAGTTTAATAGAGGAAACGAGAAGAAAATTCGAGTTAAACCCGGCGAAAGAGAGGAGAAGTGAGAAAATTCATCTCGTAAACTAATTTATTTTATTAATTATGGACGGCTGAAACGATCGGTAGTTTGGCACACCTGCGTACAGATGGCGTTACAAGCCTTCTCACCCCCTTCCATCCATCCACATACATACACACAGACTCACATACACACACACAGAGTAACCGTTTAGAGTCTATAAAATAAGGAAAACTTTGCGAAATCCTGCAGATTATTACCTTGATTTCTAGTTCATTAGCGCAGCAATAACGAGAAGACGTAAACACTTTGAAATTCGAGTTAACCATTTGCGTGCCGAGCTATAAAATATTTTATTTTGTTTATAACACTCGTATAACTGCCTGCTGAAGTCAGATAAGGTGCCGGCTCCTCCGCTCGTTTATTGTTGAATAAATCTGAACTGGGTGACAATGGGTTTCCGCTAAGGGTCGAAGGGTGTCACGCGACACCCGCTGGATGGTCGATCACGTGACCGACACCTACACCACCGGCCGCGGACTCAAAGAAAGAGCGAAACGGCGTTTTCTTCCCCAAACGAAAAATGCTTATTTATGCAGGTTTGAATGAAGTTTTACAGATAATACGTTGTAACAATAAACGATTCTTATCTGATGTTAAAGGAGAATTTAAAAAAATGAAAGAAAACGTGCTGGTCGTTATAGTTAGAGAATTGCTCGACAGGTGTCGCTAATACCCCAGTGTTGCCAAGAAGGACGATGATGTTTCTCTCTCTCGCGGATCGTCTTACAATTATATTTATGCACCAATATTTTGGCCGGTAATTGAGATTGTTAACGCGATATTTTAAAATTATCTCGTGCCATTTTCGTTACGCGTTACGAGAGGAGTTGCTCGTTAAATAAAGAAAAAAACAAGTTGCAAAAATGTTTGTCGAGTAATTGCTATTGATCATCAGCTCTTCCCCCTTTTTTTCTTCTTTTCTTTCAGTGCTCTGTTTACTTTTTAAAATTCTTATTTCTTTTAGAAAATGAAAAGATTTAAAAATTTATCCGCTTTAATAATTTTCAATGTATACTGGTATATCACTTGTTTTTTTTTTTTTATTTGGTGAGAGAGTTTTTCTGGTTCGAATTAAAAATTCTATTTTTCGTGCAGTTCGGAAACGTCAGAAAATTCTATTTGTTTTTATAAAGTATATTTTTTCAATAATTTATGGAAATATATTGTTTCTTGGGCATTCGCGAATCCTTTCACCGTGTTCCTTGCTCCTCTGGTAAAAATATCCTTCTTTGCACTTTGCTCCATGTATTTGTCGCCAGTTGTACATAGAATAAACATTAAGTCTTGGTGATTCATGTTATTCTGAAAAGATATTCTTCTTTCTAGAAGAATATGCTTTTGTTGCCATTCACTGAAACACTTAATTTACTCTAAAATTTACAAAAGCATTTCTACACACAGAAAAGATCCTTTTTCACAAACAGAGCTGAACTATTGATCAGAGTTAAATAGAATATAAATTAATTAAAATTCAATACACTGAGTTTTATGCTTTTTTTCTGTTAAAGGTATCATAACTATTAGGCTGTATGAATTTCTACAGATACATAATCTATAGTTCAAGAAAAACAAAGGTTAAAAGTTATAATATGATGTTACTTGTACGATTTCGGATAAAAGTACAAGAGAATATGTGTGCAAGCATTTCCTCCTTTATAGTGCACTTCCTGCAGAATAACTGGCGTGATTTATGTTTAATCTTTGTCCGGTGAGTGAATAAATCACAAGGAAAGTAATTAGTAGAGATTAAGAGGAAAAATTAAGTTGGACAGGCAATGTGTAAACATATTCACCAAGATAGTGGCGAGAGCGAGTACGCCTTCGTCTTACGTCGACTGTGTCTTATCGTCCTGTTGGTGACGTCACATCGAGAGAGCCACTCCTACTCCCACACCCTTCTAAGCTACGGTAGGACAATGCGTGGGTTGTTAAGAGCCGACTTGGTTGCACCCATTCGTTGGCATCGTGTCTATCCAAAGCTCTTACTTTAAATTCTTTTCGGAGTGTTGCGAAGTTAAACGGTTATTTCCACTTCAAAAAACACAAAATAATCACATTCTCTGCCAACGTGTCTGTCCCGTT